GCAAGGCTCCAGGTGTCAAAGCAGCAGAACACAGAACAGAGAGGACATGGTTAACCCAGGAATGTAGCAAGGGACCTCAGAAGGCATCTGTACCATCTTATAGATGGAAAATCTGAGGCTCAGAGAGGGAAATGAACGTGCCCAAGGTCAGCTGGAACATCAGTCTCTGAATTCTATCTCTGTCTCCTGAGTCCAGAGCCAGTGCCCTGGCCATCAGTGCTCTGACAGCGCAGGCTGCACTGGGTTTATCTTCCTCCCGGTGCTGTGAGACTGTGACAGGCCTGGAACTGTGGGGAAGCGCTGAATAAGAACCCAATAGAAGCTGATTATCCCCTTACTGCTAGTTTACCTGGCAGGTCCATACCTTACCACCTTTAGAAAGTCCATGCTGCCTTCCTCCATTTCCTCGGTTACCTCATCTGTGAAATGGACATATTGATGTCACCCTAGCCAGGCTTTTCTGATTAGAGTGCCACGTGGCATATGGTGAGTGCTCAATCCACAAACATGCAACACAAGTGTCAACATCTGCCATCACCATCACTGCCTTTGCCTCTCAACCCACACTCACATTTTCACCCTTGCCAGTCGGGCATCTGTCCACTTCATGTGTCTTGAAGGCTGTCATTGCATGTGCCCATCAGACCAGATCTGGGTTATTCTTTTCTGTTGTGGCCACACACTTTTGAGAGAGAGGTTCGCCTTTCATCTGTATGTAAAGGGGAACAATTGGGAGGGTGAGAGCCTGGAAATCATTTCCTGTTAGGATGCTTAAACAAACTGCAGCTGTTGAGGATGGACAAGAGAGGCCTTGAGGGACAAGTGTGAACAGGGGTCACACTAAGGCCCCCTGCCTCATGAAGGTGCAGAATGTCCCCGAGCAGGGAGGACTGGGTCTGACATGCAACTGTAGGAGACGCATTTGAGCTCAGTGAGAAAACACCGCCTGCTCCACGAGACTGGGCCAGACAGAATGTGACCCCCAGTCCCGCTCCCTCTGATGACCGTGCTCAGAGTCATCGGAAGGAGCTTCTTCAAGCTGATTGTGTCTCTCTCTTACTCCAGGACGGTTCACGGTTGTGCATTTACCCCCTAACTAAAGCGCGAATGGCTGGCCTGGCATTTGGGACTCTCCCAGCCATGAACCTTCCAGGATTATGCTCCACTCCCATGACTTCCTGAGCCAAAGGGACCCATCGCGCTTCCTCAGGCAGGCATTATGCTTTGCTGTCTCAGAGCCTCCCCTCTGCACAATCTCGTCTCTCTCTATACCTTTATACCCTCTCTTTCACTTCCCGGTGTCGCTCTTTCCACCGCTGCTAGTCCCAGATGCCAGGTCACTGCTTCCATGAAGCCAGCAGTCAGCGGGCCTCGCTCTCTCTTCTGTCTCCGATGGGACCTTACTCGGTATCTCTCCCAGGACAGGGGCCACTTCTCCCCACAGGAGGGTCAGGTATGTGTGCGCTCATTCTCCACGTAAGGTCAGACGTCTGAGGAGAGCAGCCGCCTCTTGCTCCTCCTCTCATCCAGCCTGCAGCTCACTGCTGGGATCCAGCGGGCGGTTGTTTCCAGAGGCTCCTAAGTATGGAAACTGAGTGCCATCTTCACTCCCAGCAGCTCTTCTTCATGCATTTATGTCCTGTGTTGTTACATAGGATGCTCTTACACATCCAATTGCAATTTGTTCCTTCAGATAGCCCTGTGAGTTAGCAAGGAAAGTTAGCTTCTCCCTCTCTTTATGAGAAGAAACAGAGGCTTAGAGAGTTGAGAGGACATTCAAGATCACCTGGCAAAGGTAACAAAATCCACGCAGGCTCCAGTTCACCGTCACCCCTGACGACTCATCACTTCCTCCCAATGTCCAGCAGGGCTGCTGCCCTCACCGCCTATTGTGGACACCACTCAGGGCAGAGTCCTGGGGAAACATGTCAGCTTAAAAGGATTTGCACAGCCTGTGGCCTTCTTCCTGGGAGTCCCTTTTGCAAGCCTCCTCTTGTATCCTTGAGGTTTGCTTCGCCGCAGCCTGCAGAGCCATGGACCTTGATGAAGAATACCACCTCTTACCCTCCCGTGTAAGTCAGGGGTGTGGCTTTGGCATCTTTCAGTGGGGATGTTAGTCTCAAAGGGATGCAGGATGGAGCCAAGACAGTCAGGTGAGTGGCTCATCCTTTGTCCTGGAATCCTCAAGATATTGTAGATCCCTATGAAACTTCCAGAACTCTCATAGCTTTCTAGAGCCCTTTATTCAACTAATATTTATTGAGCAACTTTCCCAAGTATCTTCTAGTTTCCTGGAATCCATTAGTGACCAGAACAAAGATCCCACCTTCATGGAGCTTGCATTGTAGCTGGGGTAGACAGATATGAAGAAGTATGCAAATTAACACATAGATTATGTAATGTATCAGAATATGATAAGTGCTGTGGGGAAAAATAGGAAGTGGAGCAGGTGAGGGGTTTCCAAAGTAATGATTCTGTTAGCCTAAAACGAGAAAGCCACCAGATATTGTCCAGCAGAACCAGGGTTGATCTGGGAGCGCAAAGAACTGCCATCGTGGATATGCAGCTATGGCAAACCACATGCCAATCAGGTCAAACAAAGGAAATTCTTTATAGAGGCCACGGGGAAGTCAGGAGGCACTGCGACAAACAAAACTTCCGCTGAAGGAGGCGGAGCTTGTTATGTAGTGGCTTTTCATTGGCTGAGCTGTTGCCAAGGGATGAGTTCATCTTTCTCATGGTAACGTCCTGTCACTTCCAGCCAGAGGTGCAAAGTCTGTCTCTACCTAATGGAATCTGTATTGAGGTGAAGTGGTATGTTCCTGAGAATTCCCCCTCCTGACCTCTGTGTTTTATTTTAGTGAGGTTTCCCTTTATTAATTTTCACAGTTCTCTTTATTTTCCTTCTTGAACTTTACCATAGCGGGGAGTAAGGCGGGCCAGGAGATGTGCGGGTGGTAGTGCTTTGGGGTGTTGATTACCCAAGTTCTCAACTCCCAACGTGTCTTGCTACCTTGGCACAAGCAGAACCATGGCTGATGTTTTGTAGTTAGCTGGCCAAGTTAGGCAAAGAAAATGCTCAGCTGCTTCCCAAGGCACCTCGGATGTCTGCAACCTTTGAGTCACATATTATTTATCTCAGTAAGAGATTTCTAATTATTTCCAGGGTCCTGCGTCTGCTACATTCTTTTCCTTCTTCTCTTCTCTACCGTCCTCACTCCCATTCATCTTCGCTTTCTTTTAAAAACAATTCATTCTTTTCCATTCCTGATTACAAGTAATAAGTAGTACATACTTATGACATAAAAGTGAGGGAACTTGCCTGGTAGTCCAGTGGCTAAGACTCCATGCTCCCAATGTAGGGGGCATGGCCTCAATCCACATCAGGGAACTAGATCCCAAGTGCCGCAACGAGGAGTTCCTCTGCTGTAACTGAAAAATCGCACATGCCATGATGAAGATCTGGTGCAGCCAAATATTAATAAATAAAATTAAGTAATTAATTGTTTTAAAGTGTGGAAGTACAGGTGAGTAAAGTTAAGAAAATGTAAACCACACAGTTCCACCACCAAGCCAGAACTACTATCCATATTTTAGATTCTCTTAGATCCCAAGTGCCGCAACGAGGAGTTCCTCTGCTGTAACTGAAAAATCGCACATGCCATGATGAAGATCTGGTGCAGCCAAATATTAATAAATAAAATTAAGTAATTAATTGTTTTAAAGTGTGGAAGTACAGGTGAGTAAAGTTAAGAAAATGTAAACCACACAGTTCCACCACCAAGCCAGAACTACTATCCATATTTTAGATTCTCTTTTGCCAGTCTTTTATCTGTTGCATACTTTCTCCCTTAAAATGGAATCACAAAGTTTTCTCTACCCATTTCTAATGTGTGTGTGTGTGTGTCTGTGTGTGTTTGCCACATCAAAAATCAATTCTTAAAAAAAAATCAATTCTTGCACACCATATGGGTGGCCAACAGTTTACCTAATTCTGACAGTTTTGCCAAGCATAGCATCAGATTCCATCTGTGAAGGGCTCAGTCCTACAAAACCTCCCTCTACTTCAGATGCCAATTCCAAGTTGTCACCTGTGTGTCTGACCAACTGGTTATAAATCAAAGGTTCCCGTAACCCCTTTCCTGGGTTCTATTAATTTACCAGAGCAGCCTACAGAACTCAAGAAACTAGTTTCCTCACTAGATTGCCAGTTCATTATGAAGGATATTGAAGGATACAAAGCGCTAGTCAAGTGAAGAGATCCATACGGTGAGGTCCCTGACAAACGACCCAGCACGGTGGCCACCTCCCTGGCTGTCCAGTGGTTAAGAATCTACCCTTCCACTGCAACAGATTCAACTTCCTGGTCAGGGAAGTAACATCCACATGCCACGCAGTACAGAAAAAAAGCGTTCTGTTCTGCCGGACAATCTCTGAACCTGTCCTTCTGCGTGTTCACAGAGTCTTCATCATACGCGCAGGATGATTGAAATGATTGGTGATTCTTTCAGGCTGAGGCAGGGCTAGGATGCAGTTCTAATGCTGCCCCACAAACATTTGACCCTCATCTGTTGTAGGCACTAAATATTTGTCATTTCCTTGGTTTCCCCTCGTTTCTGGAAGTCTCCTGTGAACTAGACCATGATTCCCTGTGGGCAGGATACAGGCACTCTACACCGGGCGTCATACAGCACTGGTGTGGACCCAGGGAAGCAGGAAATGGTCCTTTCTCATGCCCATCAGGACACTAGGCAGCCTCCTCCCTTGCCCCAGGGCATTCCAGAGGCCCCAGGAAGGGAAGAGGGTCAGGTCTGACCGTACATGGTCCTGGGAGACCTTGGTGAGCCTGAGGATCCCCATCGCATGCCCCAGGTATGGGAAGAACAACGCTATTTGCTGGCCTGAAGCTGGCAGTCCAAGAACTTCGATGACCACAGGAGACATGTCCTTGGTCAGCTCTGATTGAACCTCAAGAATTCTTCTCTCCTTGCCCCTCGCAGGTGCTCCCAGGACCGAGTGGGGGCGCAGTTGCTCTCGGATCTGTTTACCAACAGAAAGGAGAACATTAGCCTCACGTTTTCCGAAGACTGTCTTTACCTAAATATATACACCCCTGCTGACTTGACGAAGAGAAGCAGGCTGCCGGTAAGCGGTGGGAACCCCTGGTCAAGGCTGGTGTAGACTGGAGGGGATGAAGGCGGTGTTAAGATTGAGGGGAGGGCGTCTGGGGCCAAGGGGTCTTCTGGGGCCCCAGGGCTTTCTTTTCCACCACAACCAAACCTGACATCAGGGAGTGCAGGTTGCCCACACCTGTTTCCCCTCGGCCAGAGTTGGGCCCCTGGGGGAGATGGCTGCACATCTGTAATGCACATTTGAATTTTTCTAGGGTCTCTCATGGTAATAGATGGACAAGAAGGATGACTTTTAATTGCTAGATTAGGAATCTGGACCCAGACAGGGTAAAATATCATTTCCATAAAGTTAGAGCTGGGAAGGAATCTTGAAGATAAGCCAACAAGCCAACCCTTCCTTTACAGACACAGAAACTGAGGCCCAGTGAGGGGAAGGCGCGGTCACAGAGTAGGGTTGGCAGGACTGGAGCACGGGGCCCCTGGAACAGCCGGGAGCTCTCTGCAACAGGCTAGCAGAGGAGCCTGTGTGTGGCCTTTCATCAGCACACAGACCCCTCTGACAGCTTTCTGTGTCACAGGTTGGGGGCAGTCTGGAGCAACAAACTTATCCTGGACTTTCCTTTGCCAACTATCAAGATCTTCTTGTGGCTAAATTCACTTCGTGATTGTCTTTGGCACACACTGATGACCCAGTGGGTCAACATGTCCAAAATACATGGAGCCCAGAGAGATGACAAACTTCGTGACTCAGGCTGGAGGTTGGGGCAGGTCTGGTGGAAAAGGAGCAGTGAATGAGGGTAGAGACTGGTTTGGGTACACAAAGCCATCACCAGGAACACCCCTGGCATGGTGTCCAGATGTGGAGAAAGGTGTCTGTGAACATGTGACTAGAAGCTCAAAGAAGTGGGCACAGTTGTTCTTTCATTCATTTTCCCTATTACATACTCAGTGTACACACACACATAGCTAGAAGTGGGGGTTAGGAGACAGAGGGAAGGGTAAACCATGACCACATAGCCCCTGGCTTGGAGGATCTGCACAGAGCTAGACTGGCCTCTTCAGGAAATCACTGGGGACCATCCCTTGGCTCAGCCTGGACTCAGAGATGACTGCACACTCAGTCCCTCCACCCGGAGGTAGGCAGGGATCAGACATGTCGGAGGAGCAGGGGCCCTGGGAGCCTGAGGCTGGAGGACCTCTAGTGTGGACACAGGCTCTGGACCTGTAGGGTCGAGGTGTAAGTCTTTGTTCTGCCTTTTACTAGCTGTTGCCTCAAATTGGGGATCATCACACATGAGTGTTCAGTAACGAATATCAAGATTTATGGCAGTGTCTGGGTCAGAACATGAGGCAACTCCTCCTGATGCATTAGTTAGAGTTGTAGGGAAGGCATTCCTTCTGCCCCAACAGCAAACCTGCTGTGGCATGGCCATCGACTTCTGTGTGCTGGGTGGCTCAACATGTGGACTCTGGAACCAGACTGCTTGGGTTCGAGTCCTGTGTCTACCGCCCATTAGCTGCGTGACCTTAGGGTAGTGAAAAGCCTCAGCTTTCCTGTCTGTATAATGGAACAATAAGAGTCCCTCTCAAATGGATGATTTATTTTTATTGCATGGAACGATTCTTGGCACATAGCTTGTAAATGATTTCTTTTTTTTATTAACCAAATTTTTGTAATATAATTTTAGTCATTCTCACTTTCTTGCTTTGTAAACTCCTTAAATTCAGGACAGTGTTTTATGAATTCTCATGTTCTCTCTCAGGCTCAGCTCTTCCCAAAGTCCCTGGCACCTAGTAGGTTTTCAGATCATATTCACCTCATAGTTGAACACTTCTTAGAGGAGTTGGTTTTATACTGGACTTGGAGGATGGGTGAGATTTGGGGAGCTAAGGAGGCAACGGGATGTCATATTAAGAACAAATCCCATCCAGGGCATATGCTTCTTGACAAAATCATTCATTCACTTGAGAAGATGAATTCACGAACGAAAAGGTAACTAAGATGAAGCAGATCCAAGCTTCTAAACAAAGGCTTCATGCAGAGTGGACTGAGCTGTGTGAGGGGTCCAGGAGTGAGGGTGTTGGGGGCGTTGGGGAGGAGGTGATGCTCGAGCCTTGGCTGTTCCCATGATGATGTTCTCAGCAAGAAGAGTGCTGTGAGCAGGTGGCCCTGGGGCAGGAGAGACAAGCAGGCGCAGCCAGGGTGCCCTGAGTGGGCGGCGACCTGGGCCACTGCTGGGAGAATGGGTGGGTGACCAAACCTGCCTCTGAGGTCTTTCCCAGCTCTGCTTCCTGTAACCCTGAGCTGGCATCCTCCCCAACCAGGTGATCGTGTGGATCCACGAAGGAGGTCTGCTGATGGGAGGAGCATCAACCTTTGATGGGCTGGTCCTTTCTGCCCATGAAAACGTGGTGGTGGTGACCATCCAGTACCGCCTGGGCATCTGGGGCTTCTTCAGGTAAGACCCTGGACTCTCCTCGTGGCACATTGCCCCCAGTGTGAGGGTGCTAGGACCCCACTCTGGTCATGCAAGCCCTCAAGGGGATCCTTGCTAGGTTCCCTACTGAGACATCTGGGTCCCCTCATAATTGGGCTCCACCTACCTTCTCATTCCCAGCCACCCTGGTCCACTTATTCCAGAGTTCTTACACGTAAAACGCCTAATCTACCTGACAAACTCCTATGATTCCTACAAAGCCCAACCAAGTTGTTATCTTATCTGAACTCAGTTCAGTTCAGTGGCTCAGTCATGTCCTACTCTTTGCAACCTCATGAACCGCAGCACACCAGGCGTCCCTGTCCTTCACCAACACCCGGAGGCCATCCAAACCCATGTCCATTGAGTCAGTGATGCCATCCAACCATCTCATCTTCTGTCATCCCCTTCTCCTCCTGCTCTCAATCTTTCCCAGCATCAGGGTCTTTTCAAATGAGTCTGCTCTTCGCATCAGGTGGCCAAGTATTGGAGTTTCAGCTTCAACATCAGTCCTTCCAATGAACACCCAGGACTGATCTCTTTAGGATGGACTGGCTGGATCTCCTTGCAGTCCAATGGACTCTCAAGAGTCTTCTCCAACACCAAAGTTCAAAAGCATCACTTCTTCAGTGCTTAGCTTTCTTTATAGTCCAACTCTCACATCCATATATGACTACTGGAAAAACAATAGCCTTGACCAGATGGACCTTTGTTGACAAAGCAATGTCTCTGCTTTTTAATATGCTGTCTAGGTTGGTCATAACTTTTCTTCCAAAGAGCAAGCGTCTTTTAATTTCATGGCTGCAATCACCATCTGCATTGATTTCTGGATCCCCCGAAATTAAAGTCAGCCTCTGTTTCCACTGTTTCCCCATCTATTTGCCATGAAGTGATGGGGCCAGATGCCATGATCTTAGTTTTCTGAATGTTGAGCATTATGCCAGCTTTTTCACTCTCCTCTTTCACTTTCATCAAGAGGCTCTTTAGTTCTTCTTCCCTTTCTGCCATAAAGAAGATGTCATCTGCATATCTGAAGTTATTGATATTTCTCCCAGCAATCTTGATTCTGGCTTGTGCTTCCTCCAGCCCAGCATTTCTCATGATGTACTCTCTGCATACAAATTAAATAAGCAGGGTGACAATACACAGCCTGGACGTACTCCTTTTCCTCTTTGGAACCAGTCTGTTGTTCCCTGTCCAGTTCTAACTGTTGCTTCCTGACCTGCATACAGGTTTCTCAAGAGGCAGGTCAGGTGATCTGGTATTCCTATCTCCTTCAGAATTTTCCACAGTTTATCTGATCCACACAGTCAACGGCTTAGGCATAGTCAATAAAGTAGAAATAGATGTTTTCCTGGAACTCTCTTGCTTTTTCGATAATCTGTCGGATGTTGGCAAGTTGATCTCTGGTTCTTCTGCCTTTTCTAAAACCAGCTTGAACATCTGGAAGTTTACGGATCACATATTGCTGAAGCCTGGCTTGGAGAATTTTGAGCATTACTTTACTATCTGAGCAACTTATCTCTTTTTCACCTGTGCTGCTTTGCATGTGGCACTTTCTTTAAGACTACCATTACCATGCAGCACAGCTCTTAAAGGCTCACACATCTTTCCTCCGGGGAAGTAAAGTAGGGGCAGACTCATGTGGGAGCTCCATGAAGTCTTGTAGGTGAAGGAATGGGTGCCTTGAACTGGGAGGTTGTAAGGAGCATCTGACTCCAGGGGTACATCTACTAGGAGGAGCATTGGGCCCACTCACCCCATTTCCTTCCTGGAATTTGGCACATGCATGAGTGAAGCCTTGAGTCTCCCATGTGGATTCTCTGGGGACAGGAACCAGGTCTCCAGAAGGCAGTTACTGAGCTTTTCCTGAATGCACTGGGGCCAGGACCTCTTACCCTGAGATGCTGGGGGGTGGGCCAGGGAGGGGTGGTCACCTCCCTGGAAAGACCTGTGGGCTGGGGGAGGGTTGTCCCAGGGGAGTCGTGTCCTAGGACGTGTCCCCTTCACAGAGACCCCTCAGCGCTTCCCCCCATGGCCCGTGTCTGCTCCCAGTGACACTGTAACTACACATACTCGCCCCACTTCCTCTCCCCCGGCCTCTCCTCCACCACGTGAGCCAGGGTTTCACCCCGACCATAGGAAATGCTCATCAATAGATGAAGGGTGGCTGTGTAGAGCCCTGTAGCAGAGCAGGACAGCAGGAAAGTGAAGACCCCGTGTCAGGGCTGTGGAAGCCCAATCTTACCCAGAAAAGAAATATGGGGCTCACCTGACCCCCAGCCCCATCTCTGGTCCTCAGGGCCCTGCCGGGACATCTCTGCTCCCAGCCCCACCCTGATCTCTCACTCACAGCACAGGGGACGAGCACAGCCGCGGGAACTGGGGCCACTTGGACCAGGTGGCCGCGCTGCGCTGGGTCCAGGAGAACATTGCCAACTTTGGAGGGGATCCAGGCTCTGTGACCATCTTTGGAGAGTCGGCAGGAGGGGAAAGTGTCTCCGTTCTTGTAAGTCTTCCTGGCCCTGATGTGGCTGCTGATGGGACCCCTTGCAGACCGGCCCATCTAGTCCTGGGACCTTTACTTCCAAGACTTGGATTCAAGGCTGACCCAACTCTGTGCAACATCAGATGGTGGAGAGTTAACGGCCAGACTTCGCTGAGCCCCCGGGAAGCTCAGGCCTCAGCTGAGCCTCCGGAGCCGTAGCTGCAGCCACAGCTGCGACAGATTCTTCCTGACCTGTGTTGGTTGAGCTGATCCTCTCCTTCTTCATCATTTTAACGTTAGGGCTCACCTCACTTCTCTTGAGATTAGGGCTGTGTGTAAATGACTAATCAGAGGAGCCGACCATGAGGTTGGTCTGAGTGTCCTTGTCTGACTTGAAGCCAGGCCTGCAGTTCAGGGAGACGCGAGCACTAAGAACAGGCTGGGGGCCCCCTCTGAGGGCATCTGGTGGCTTCTCCATGCCCAGCAGGGAGGGCAGCAGTCTCCGGGGCTGAGGGCTGGAGCCGGGCTGGGGGGAAGGAGAAGAGGAGGAGGGATGGGGATGGGACGGGGGACAAGGGACACAGACGGGACCTGGGAGTGTGGTGTGCGGAGTGGGAATGAGGGAGACGCCAAGGGAGGCAAGAATGGAAAGTCAGATTAGAAGGTGCTGGGAGCTTGAGAAACACTCCAACTGCCTATAATTTGAGCAGAGGCTCACATTTGAGCAGAGGGTGAATGCTATTACAACCTCTCTCTCTCTCTTTTTTTTTTTTGGCTTCTTTTCATGTGGGATCTTAGTTCCCCAGTCAGGGATCCAACTTGAGCCCCCTGCATTGGGAGCTTGGAGTCTTACCCACTGGATCACCAGGGAAGTCCCTGTCACTACATTTTATGAACCTATGTTGGTTTCACAGTTCAACATTCAGAGGAAATGTTTTTCTTTCATGAAGTGGAGAACAGGAAAGGTTCAGAAAATGTCATAGAAGAAAAAGTCATTCAGAATTCCATTATCCATGGATACTCATGTTGAGCTGTATTTTTCTAATTCTTTTCCATAATTCACCCTGTTTATTTGACTATCCATCTATCAGTCTGGCTAGAACTTTTATAATCCCTTTTTAAAATCCTTGGCTGTGCTGGGCCTTCATCGCTGCACCCTCTCTGTTTGAGTGTGGGGCGTCTCAGTGCCCTGCCTTGCTGCGGAGCTCAGTTCTAGTTGCAAGGGCTTCAGAAGCTGTGGCCTACGGGCTTAGATGCTTCATGGCATGTGGATCCTCCCAGGTTAGCGAATGAACCTGTGTCCCCTGCATTAGAAGGTGGATTCTTAACTACTGGACCACAAGGGAAGCCCTAGCTAGAAATTTTTAAACACAAACTTTCCCTAGCATTATAAAACAACATAAATATTTTTCTGAGCATTAAATACTCTTTCGTATTTTTTGTATGTATAGTCAAGTAATTTCATTGTAAGAATGAAAAATAGGTTATTTATACAATCTCATAAATTTGAGATTTATCTAATCTCATAATATTGAAAGCTTGGGTTATTTCCAATTTTTACTATTATAAACAACCTGAACATTATTAAAAATTGGTATATACCTCCATGCTCATTTTCCTTAGGATAAATTTTGAGTAATGGAAACGGAAAGTCAGACTGTGCCTTTATTTTATTTATTTATTTTATATTTCCCCAGCCATTTAAAACTTTTGATTCACCTTTATTTTTTTAATTAATTCTTACTTGAGTGTACTTGCCATAAGAACTGTGCCTCTGCAGTGTTGCTAGGAATTGCTGAGCTGCCCTTCAGATACTGTTGATAGCTATAGTCAGTGGGCGCCACACACCGCCTGTTCTGGCCCTCACTCTGCTCCTGCCTCCAGCCAGCTGAGGTTTTCTTTAGAAGCCCAGCCCATGGCCTCCCACGGGAGCAATCCAGGACAGGGTTGTGGATGGGTGTGGCTCTTCAAGAGCAACCTCCCTCCCTCCCGTGAGCATAAACTCCCTTACTCAACACGGTCCTCCCAGGTGTTATCTCCCCTGGCCAAGACTCTCTTCCACCGGGCCATCTCTGAGAGTGGCGTGGCCCTCACTTCTGCCCTGGTCAAGAAGGACTCGAAGGCTGCAGCTGAGTAGGTCTCACACTGGTCTGTCCCCACACCTTTTGCTCTGCTTTCCTGGAGTTGTCAGGGCCCTTTCTTAGGGTTCAGTCTGGCTGACATCCTCAGCAAATCGTAGACGGGAGAAGTGGCTGAACAGGAGGAACGAGGACACACCTCACCCCCCCTCTCAGTTCTACCACTGAGCAGACTGGGGCAGAGAGCTGAAGCACAAGAGCCTCGCCAAGGTCAGAGAGTGATGAGGGCAGAGCTGGGCTCGGGCCCTTGACTCTGGTCTGCCAGCCCCGTGCACTTTCCACTGAACATGGTTCCCGAAGTGTGCCAGGTGGGGTGCTGGGCTTAATGGGTGTCATTGTGTGTGGTCTCGCTCGAGGTCTGAGATCGAGTACACTCATATACACTCTGTGGGCCTGGAGTGGCTTTTCCCTGGGGACCTTTGACCAGGCTGGGTACCTGAGAATTCTTCATGGCTTCATTCATTCATGCAACAGATCATTTGGGGATAACCTGATACCTAAATTCTATTCTCAAGGAATAGAGAGATTAATGATTACATAATTTTACCATTTATAAAATGTCAATTGTACCTAGAGCAATAAAGGAAGGTATCTGAGGTCATAACAGAATCCAAAAGGAGAACTTCGTCCAAGGCATGGGGGAGGTTATTAAGAGAGGCTTCCTGAAAAAGAAGAAAGAAATGATCAACAAGTTGAGATGAGAAGGGTAAGCAGTAAATTAATTGGCAAGCAAGGAATATCCAGGAAACAGGAACAGGCTGTGCAAATGTCCTATGGCTGGGGCCAATATCTCGAGAGAGTGAGGAAGGCTGATTGGGCAGAGCAGAAATTTCAGAGGCAATCTGGAGAGAGCTGAGGATGGGACCATGGCAGGGCCATACCACATAGGACGTGGTGAGGACTGTGTCTTTATTTGGTGAGTGTTAGGAAGACAAGGAAGGGTAAGCACCACAGAGGCTCTGCTGAGGAGTGTGGCTTGGAGTCAGTGATACAGAGCATTTGGATCAGGCTGCAAGAGCTGATTTGGAGAGCGTGGGGGCAGCACAGACTGAAGGAATTGGTAAGTAGAAAAAGAATAAAAGGGGCTCCATGAATTTTTAGAATTTTTGAGAATGTTTTCAGAATTTTAGGATATTAACCACAGATGCCCATTAATCACGCTTATGTCCAAAATGGGGAGCTTATATAAAGGAAAGAAAGGTCTCAGGGATGGGACTGAATTTTGCTATCAAACAGGACAAGAAATCAAAGAATGGAGGATCTGAGACTCTTATTTTACATTCTCCCTGGTTCTGTCTCCTCAACCTCGTCCTGTGCCTTTTTATTTTTCCACCACATACATAGTGAGCACTGATGTCTGCCAGACACTGGACCAGGCTTCAGGCAGCCCGTGCACAATTTCCAGGGTCCTGTCATCGTGGCATCTGACTTCTCTTCTTCTGTGTCTTCCCCTCTGGCTGCACTTTTCAACGGACTGGCCTGAGGCCAAATGTCTATTAATTGGATGAGTCCAGATTTGAAATTAGAAAGTGGGATTCTGGATTCCAGGCTCTTAAGCTCCTCCTCCATGCTGCCTCTCTTTAGAAGTTCAGCTTTGAGAGCATTCTGTCCACTTTAACAGAGATAAAGCAGCAGAGGCTGAGGAGTCTAACTGGCATGCCTGGGACCCAGGACCTACTGGTCTGGGGTGTTTACTGCTACCACGGACTGCCTATAGAAATGGAGGTTGGGACAGAACACTTCGGTATTGATGGAGGGAAGAGGCACGGCTCTTGAATTCTGCTGTCACCTGTGATCTCTACAGTGAATCGCTGTGTTTGCTGGCTGTAAAACCATCACCTCGGCTGGCCTTGTTCACTGTCTGCGCCAGAAGACAGAGGATGAGCTCTTGGAGATAACACAAAAATGGTAAGTGGACCCACTCTCTTGGACAAACAAGCCCCCCCTCCCTGGAAACATGGCCCCGGACTTCCTCATTTCAGCTCTCCCTTTGCCCTGGACAAACTGCCTGAGACAGTTTTTCACCTCCCAGGAGCAGTGTCAGCCTCTGGATCTGAATGGGGAATTTCCTTCTGTCTTTTTTTATTATGAGTATCTCAGATGTTAGCAACGACAATAAATAACAAGATGAACAACTGAACAATGACCCCTCATATTTATCAAAACTTACCTTTTCCAGTCTTGTTTTCTTATATATATTTAAGAAATTAAACATTACATATGCTCAGAGATAGCTATCACCTTGAATTTAGGAATGGGGTTATGTAGAACAAATGCTTTCAGAAAGCTTACCACACCTTGTCTACAAACCACCTCAGTTATGACCCAGTGGTAGCCCAGTTTTCTAGATTTTCTGCATGTCTGCGTCAATCATGATTCTGTCATATCTGTTTACCTACCCATTCATCCATCCACCTGTTCATCCATCCATCATCGATCATCATCTTATTATACATCTGTCCATCTATCGATGAATTCAATTCATCAGTATCTCTTCATCAGTCTAATATCAATTCATCTATAACATTCATTCATCTGATACCAATCACCTCTTTATCTAGATTTTATCACCCATCTCTGTAAAATCAGTGAACCATCCATCAGCTAATCTGCTGGGTGTAATCCATCTGCCCAGTTATCCCCCCAGTTCATCCATACTCCACATAGTGATCAGTTTCATCAACCCATGCATCCATTTATCCATCCACCCAGCCACCCATCCATCTATCCATCTCTGGTAGGTGTATTGGGGGAGGTAACAGAGTGGTTGATGCAGACATCATTGGATATAGTCCCTGTTTGCAAGGAACTATTCATGGGGAGAGACACACATAGATTTATGTGGATGAAGGGTGCTGGGAGTAGACAGAGGAAGCATGCATTATAATACGCAGGGCTGCTTCACAGCGAAGGTGACACTTCAGGATTGGCGGCCGTGCTGGTGAGTCGTCACAGGAAGTTACAGCAGGGAAGATACCCAGAGAACACCACAGTTACAGCCAACGGGAACTGTTGGAGTAGCCTGAGCACCTGGACTCCCTGTCCGGACCCTGGAATCCTGAGGCTACTCCTGGGCTCCCCGGGGCCAACCTCCAGCACTGGACTCTGCTCTATTTCCATGGGTTCAGTCCAAAGTAGCCTTGAGTCTTGGTTTCTCAGGCTCAAATAAGGTGACCACTGTGCTCAAATATAAACACACAACTGTATTCTGGTTGTGTACATTTCTTTCTGAAACTCCATGTGGCACAAGAGATCCACCTTATAAGGGGGAGATTGGGTGACTTTGGGAAAACCCAGAGAACCTAAGAGTCCATATTATTCTTCTGAGATCATCTGAGATCATGTAGAAGTGTTTCTAGGATCATCTTCTCTCCCCATTGCACACACACACACACACACACACACACACCCCTGGATTGTGGGCCTACAACACATAGTGGAGGGATCCTTACTGGAATTTCCCCTTACAGGGTCAGGCTTTTTAGCGTCAGCATCACAGGAGAACTAGTACAGTCTTGGTAAGCTCACAACAGAGAGAATTGTGGGGTGGGATGAATTTCAGTCAGTTTGTATGTCAGGATTTTCTAATGCAAGATAAGAAAACTCATCTCAACGTGACTTGAGAAGAGAAAGGAATATGTTGTAACAGAATCTGCAGGTAATTCACTGACAGTCTAGGAGTCAACACCTTCAGGCATGGCTGGATCCAGATGCACATATGATATTACTAAGAATCTGTCTCTGTATCTCAGCTTTTACCTTTCTGTGTTGGTTTCACTCTCAGATTTGTCCCCGGGGAGGTTAAAGACAGCAAGAGTACTCTAGTCTTACACACTATCTGCTTAGAAACCCTATTTCCCAATGACTGCAGCAAAAATTTGGGTAAACTCTAGTGAACTGACATGGGCACATGTCCACCGCTGAAGTAGTCCCTGTATCCAGGGATTTGGTGCACCTAAGGTCACATACAGATGCCAGAAATCATGGAGTGAGAGTGGGGAAGTGGGGGGTCGCCCAAGGGAAAATCCGGGTGTTGTTTCCTGGAGGAACAAGAAGGGGAAACGGGTGGAGGGCAGGGCAGGCAGCAGCAACAGTCCTCCGGGAGCTCCCCTCCCCCACCCCACCCCTGCACCTGTGCTGGCGCCCAGGGGAGGGCGTCCTGCCCGCTTCCTTTCAGCCCAGCCAGGGCGGCGCCAGGAGGGAGCACTTGGTACCTTTGGGCACAGCTCACAGAGCTCAGCTTTCCTCCCAGGAAGCCTCCTCACCACAACCTCTGTCTTTGTCTTCACAGAACTTTTTCACTCTTGTTTTATATGGAGACCCCAGAGAGGTAAGGACTTTTGGTTTCTTAATTGCACATTTTAAGTCTTGACACCTTAAACTTCAGCTAATGATTGGGAAAGAATGAACTAATTCTTTGTGGGGAACCCTAGTAAATCCTACTCTTTATATTGCTGACAGCCAGAGAGGGGCTGTGACCTCCCGGGTCTCACAGTTGGGACGACCACATAATGGGACCAGAACCTGTTCCCCGGTCCCCAGGCCCGCGTTCTCCATCATCAACTCTGTGTCCTTGTCCCCAGCCAGCCCCTAGTCTTGTATACATCCCTAAGAACGCGCTGTTGGGAGAAGGTGGAGGAGAAACCTCCAGTGCAGGGGGTGGAGATGACTGGGTCAGCCGCTCTTTAGGAGGCTTCATGAGGAGCCCGGATGGTCTCCTGGGGGGCTGCAGGGTTGACTGGCTGTGCAAGTCGCGCTGTTTACAGAGCTGTGGGGAGAAGAGACATGAATCTCAGTCCTCAGGACACCACTTCCCTCCCAGCCTTGCAGGAAACTCCAACAGAAGCCTCCCCGGGCTGAAAAACATTGAGACCTTGTTGACTGGTGTTTTATTATCAATGAATATTGCATATAACTAACTATCTGGAAGAAATGTTTATTACATAAGGTATCTTTAAACAGAAACATTTACAGAGCAAGGTTGAAATAATGTGACCAGAGGCTCTCAGGGACCTGATCCCTTATTTTGCCAGGGCAGCGACTCAGCATTCATTAAATCAGAGTCAGGGTGACTTTATAGAACCTAAGTATCACGAATAATGAGAACATTACCAAGTTAAATGGGGGTCCTTCTGCTGGCCAACGACGACCTTTATTCAGAATGCTCACAATCTGGGGTGATGGTGGACTCAGTTTCCTCCCCAAAACCACCAAGTTTCTGTTTGGCCATGAAAGTTTTTAAAGAGCAGCAGGGAAGTCATCTCAGTTCACCCCTGAGATGAGGGGTTGAGAGTGGTCACCATCCCTGTTTGCCTGCAGGCTCCTGTGCAGGTTGTAGACTCCTCCTGATCTTCCTCTAGGTGTTATCTTCTTCTTACATTTGGGAGACTCCAGATAGGTCAGCTAGGGAAGAGATCCGATCATCTGTGAATTTCTTATTCTTCATTTCTGCTTCTTTGATCTATGGGGAAAACCAACAAGCTGGGCAGGGCATTGGGTGATTAAAAGATCTGAAAGGTGTGCTTGGGCTGAAGATGAGTAGAGCATTGGGGGGCGTGGCTCAAAAGTCAGCTATCTTACAGCTTTGCTAAAGTGACAAAAAAAAGGGTAGGCTCCTTGTGAGGCTGGTTTCCTGTAAGAGGTGCTTACAAGAACTGACTGTAGATGGAGAGATGCTTAGAGATACATTAATGTATGACTTTCAGATTAAATACACTTTGTATTGTATATTTTTATACAAATTTGAGTGAAGATTTGCCCACATCACCTGACTACTGCTTTCTCCTGGTCAGAGTTCTGCCCTCTGGGGTCCACAGACTTAGCCCTGAGCGTGTGGCCACCAGCCATGAGCACATGCTGGTTGTCAGCCCCGGCAAGTGGAGACGGGGATGTGGGTGTGACCTGGAAGGGGAAGCACAGACAATTCTCTGCCCTGTTCCCCAGAACTATCCTTTCCTGCCCACTGTGGTTGACGGAGTGCTGCTGCCAAGGATACCAGAAGAGATGCTGGCTGAAAAGAACTTCAACACCGTTCCCTACATCGTTGGAATCAACAAGAAAGAGTTTGGCTGGATTCTGCCATTGGTGAGAAAGTGCAGGCCTCATCGATTTGCCTACCCTGCCCATCATATCACCCCTCCCGTCTGTGGTCACATCACCCCTCATATCTCTGGTCACAGGACCCTTCCTTCTACAGACCCCTCTCTGGGACTAGGGCAGCTGTCCCCTTCATACAAAAGCTGACATTTCCATAGAAACCATCTCTGATGGTCCACACTGTCATCTGGGAGATGTAGCCCTGGAGACCCATGTCCCCACACACTCTCTGATTGTCCTCCTATCCATGAATCCTGAAATGTTGGTTCCAGGAGGGCTGGTAGAGATCATCATTGGGCAGATGAAAAACCCAAGGCTTGGAATGGGCGAGGGGCTCGGGAGTTCTGGAGAGTGAGGTCTGGGACCTGCAGCCTCTGCCCTCGGGCTTGGTGCTTTCATGCTTTCTCCACAAGTCTGCCCCACTCCTGCACCCATGCCCTCAGTCATCTCACCGGGAGGAGTCAAAGGAGCCTGCGTCGTCCTGGATTAGAATTGACTTCAAGAGTTAGGAAGTGCTTTCCCTTCGGCCGAAGATAAACAAAGCCGGACACCAGGTGACATGCTAACAGATTTGATTCAGTTATACCCCTGCTCTCGGCAAAAGATCCATCATGAACGGAGCCCAGACCCTGAAATGAATACCTGGATTTGTTAGCTGGCATTTATCTGGAGAAGAAACAAACTTCCGTCTTTATGACAGGAGGCAGTGGTGTCAGTAGAATCAAGGCCCCCCCACTGAAGTTAGGCTTTATCACCTCACAGGGACTGGAGGAGAGACCAAGAATTATCCCCTGGATGTTTGTTGTTCATAGAGATGGCTCTCAGATCCTTGAGGAAACCTTTTGGGGTGGAAGAGTTACATCTAAAGGGGCAAAGGAAAGATTTATAATTGCAAGGTTTCTAAAGTAACTGCTGTAAGAGGGGTTTCGTGGACCTACCTGCCCATTACCAGGTTTGGCTGAAACAAGCTGTAAAGTCTCCTGGCAGCCCAGAGCTCTTTAAAGGGGCCTGCGGTCATCCTGGGGACATGGCCTTGGGCAATCTGCAGCTGTCCTGGAGTCTGGTCAAGTCTCTTAGGACAGAGTTTTAATGAAGTTGTTATGTGCAGAGTTCTGTGGTTCTTCAGCCTGTTTTCAGAGGTTTTACCAAAGGACCAAAGTCATAATGGCAGGATTTGGGGCTTTCTTAGTTATCTGACATGGCAGGGTATTTATGGGGCTGTGTCCTCTGCCCCAGAGCCTTCGACTTCAACACTAGGCTGGCTGAAACCTTCCCTTTCTGTCTTGATGACCACTGTGGGGACTCTAAGCCTAAACGTGTGTGTGTGTGTGTGTATGTATATATATACGCTTCCCTGGTGTCTCGGTGGTAAAGAATCTGTCTGCCAAGCATGAGCTGTGGGTTCGATCCCTGGGTCAGAAGGATTCCCCTGGAGTAGGAACTGGCTACCCACTCCAGTATTCTGGAGAATCACATGGACAGAGGAGACTGGAAGGTCCATGGGGTCATGAAGAGTCAGACACAGTTTAGACACTGAGCGTGCACACGTGTGTGTGTGTGTGGACACACACACAAAGACTGGGACAGCTTCTGTTAACAATTCCGTTATTCTCGTTGCACTCCTTGATCTCTGGATGTGAAAGTCCATTTGATTCATTGATTTTACCCAACTCATCAAAGACCCAAGCCCATCAAGACATGACAAAGTGACCTCAGCCTGCATTAGTTTGCTCTCTTGGTCACTTTGGTGTTTCCTGCCATTACCTGATGCTTTCACGATTGCTTAACCTTTGTTTTAACAGTTCATGAGATATCCACTCTCTGAAGACAAGCTGGACCAGGAGACGGCCACATCACTCGTGTGGCAGTCCTACCCCATCCTGGTAAGAGGCCAGGAATCACAGGAACTCAGGGTGTGAAGTTACAGCATGGCTTCTAAAGTGGAAGTTGTTCACCTTTTCAGTGATTGTTTATTGCAATAGAATTTTTCAGGTGGCAAAGGACTGATTAAAAGTGGTTATCTCATGCCATTTTAGTGAGATGACTTAAGTTTATTTTGTGATTGTCAAAGGGCTTTACAAAAAATAACCTAAATTAGATTTTGCTTATGTGCATGAAAAGCTACTGTTTTGTTTCCATGACTTAAATGGTTTTGTCTGCACAGACAATTCATAAGTCTGGTTTCCATTTGGTATTTAATTTTAACAGTGGTCACTTTCACTTGACCTATTTCAGAGCATTCCTGAGGAACTGGCTCCAGTGGCCACTGACAAGTATTTAGGAGGGACAGATGACCCTGTCAAAAAGAAAGGCCTGTTCCTGGACTTGATAGGAGATGGAATGTTTGGTGTCCCATCTGTGAACGTGGCCCGTCGCCACAGAGGTGAGTCCGCACGTTGAACAGGAGGGGGTCACCGCCATGCCACCATCACTGACCCCTGCCCGGACCTCAGCACAAACACATAGGTGGAAACTGCTGAGGGTCATCCTTCCAAAACTGATTGCATCTGGGGCCCTGTCCTACTCTGGTTTCTATCAGAAGCAGGCTCTGCGAAAAGGACCCAAATGCAGGTAGTGTATTTGGGGGTAATCCCAGAGAACACTGGTAGAGGAGTGGGAAAGGGACACGAATGGAGAAGGAAGTCAGTCTACACGGTGCTGTCAGGGGAGTGTCCACCACGGACAGCTGGCGCTGGGGAGCTCTGGGAAACCAGCAGAAGACGGAGCTCTGGCTACCAAAGACCTCCGGCAAAAAGCTGCAGATACGGGAGGTAGAACTCAGGCCAGTATGCCGGGAAGCAGAGAATTTGGGGAAGCACCGACAGCCTCTGCCCAGGGGCCCCTCACCTGAATTACAGTAGTCTGTGCGGCCACAGGGTGCATATTGGAGGTTTTGTCTTAGAAGTCTCCAGGGTCAGAGCTAGCTACAATCTAGTTTGTTAGCCAGGGGAGCTGCGAGTAGCATGAGCCGAAGCGTAGGCTCAGGAGTATTGTCTGGGGGACTTCGCAGATGGTCTGTGCTTCAGACTCTGTGCCTCCAAGGCAGAGGGTAGCGGTTCAAGCCTTGATCAGGGAACTAACAGCCTGCATGCTGTGTCATGCAGTCAAAAAAAAAAAAAAAAGGAGTGCTTTCTGGGACCAAGAAAGTGCAAAAGACTGAGCACTGGAAGCGTAGGAGCAGGTGGTCTGGTAAATGTCAATTTCTATGGCCAACTTACATTTATCCCAGTGGTGCTGTGTCTACCACAGGGCCGTCCAACGTTGATCCGAGGCCTTGTGTGGGGTGTGAGATCGGGGATGGATGAGCCCACCTGGAGAAGAGGTGCACCTTTTGGGTGCCTTCTGAGTTCCTCTCAGCGCCCTTCCTCTGCTGGAGGCCTCGTTCACCTAGTCCGCAAGCCAGGAGGTGGTGCTTTGATCTAGGCCTCTCTGCCTAACCGTGCCAGGAGGGTTTCTAATTGGAGACTTTATAAGCAACTAAAGTGTAGCTAGAGCTGACATGTTCTGTCCCCAAGCATTCAGTAATTTCGAGATGCTAGCTACCACTTCCTCCTTTCGGGCTGCCCGGAGTCAAATCTTTCATGTACTTGGTCTTGCCTCTTGCTGTGTGTCTGATTTCTAGGATCGCCCTCTGCATCCGTGCCACCCCCAGCCATGCTAGGCTTGAGTTTTCTTTTATCTTACTTCTCATGACTTTGTGTTTTTTCCTGTTTTTTACACTTTTTATTTTATATTGGAGTGTACCCCGTTACCCGTCCTGTGATTGTTTCAGATGGACAGCAGAGAGACTCAGTCATATATGTACATGACATCTCACGACTTAGAATTCAGGGTCTTGTTGCCAGCACTTCTTGGAGTTTATCAATGTTACATTTTCATTGTTGTAGTTCTCTCAATCTCTTTTTGATTAAAAAACGTGTTACTATAAAAAAAATCATTTTCTGAATCTGAAATTAATCTTACCATTGTAGAAAGTTTTGAAAATAGGGGAACATATACAGATGCAACTATGAATCACTCATAATTCCTTCACCTAAAGTATGAGCTATAAAGTTTTGACATATTCTCTTTTATTAATCTTTCCATGTCTTAGGTATAATGTTAAAATTATTATATTGTCCACAGAACACTATATTGCAGTCACTTCCTCATTGTCAGTACTGTTTCATGAAAAATCTCAATTATTTCATGGCATGATGGGTTAAATTTACTTTAGTGTCCCTGTCCCAGTCGATATTTAGCCAGGCTGCTCATTTTGATGCTAGACACAGCATCGTACTCAGCCTCATGTACATATATCTCTAGCCAAGTCTCAAATCATTTTCCTGGGGTTGGATTAAGAAGTGAAACCATCAAGCTGGGCTGTTGGAGCGTTTTAATGTTCTTGATACATTTTGTGAAATTGCTTTCCAGTGTGTGAGAGTGCAGATTTTGTAATTATCTCACTTGGGATAGTCAGATGAAAAGAATAAAAATAATGCTGCCAATTTTATTATTTTTTTTTGCTTGCTCTAATTTGTTTTTTTTCCATTTATTTTTATTCATTGGAGGCTAATTATTTTACAATATTGTAGTGGTTTTTGCCATACACTGACATGAATCAGCCATGGATTTACATGTGTTCCCCACCCCGACCCTGCTCCGGCCTCCCTCTCCATCCCATCCCTCTGGGTCTTCCCAGTGCACCAGCCCTGAGCACCTGTCTCAGGCATCCAACCTTGGCTGGTGATCTATTTCACCCTTGATAGCATACTTCGTTCAATGCTGTTCTCTCTGAACATCCCACCCTCACCTTCTCCCACAGAGTCTAAAAGTCTGTTCTGTACATCTGTGTCTCTTTTTCTGTTTTGCATATAGGGTTATTGTTACCATCTTTTTAAATTCCATATATATGCATTAGTATACTGTATTGATCTTTATCTTTCTGGCTTACTTCACTCTGGATAATGGGCTCCAGTTTCATCCATCTCATTAGAACTGATTCAAATGAATTCTTTTTAATGGCTGAGTAATATTCCATAGTGTATATGTACCACAACTTTCTTATCCATTCGTCTGCTAATGGGCATGTAGGTTGCTTCCATGTCCTGGCTATTATAAACAGTGCTGCGATGAACATTGGGGTGCATGTGTCTCTTTCAGATCTGGTGTCCTCGGTGTGTATGCCCAGGAGTGGGATTGCTAGGTCATATGGCAGTTCTATTTCTAGTTTTTTAAGGAATCTCCACACTGTTCTCCATAGTGGCTGTACTACTTTGCATTCCCAACAGTGTAAGAGGGTTGCCTTTTCTCCACACCCTCTCCAGCATTTATTGCTCGTAGACTTTTGGATAGCAGCCATTCTGACTGGCATGTAATGGTAACTCATTGAGGTTTGATTTGCATTTCTCTGATAATGAGTGATGTTGAGCATCTTTTCATGTGTTTGTTAGCCATCTGTATGCCTTCTTTGGAGAAATGTCTGTTTAGATCTTTGGCCCATTTTTTGATTGGGTCATTTATTTTTCTGGAATTGAGCTGCAGGAGTTGCTTGTATATTTTTGAGATTAATCCTTTGTCTGTTTCTTCATTTGCTATTATTTTCTCCCATTCTGGAGGCTGTCTTTTCACCTTGCTTATAGTTTCCTTTGTTGTGCAAAAGCTTTTAAGTTTCATTAGGCCCCATTTGTTTATTTTTGCTTTTATTTCCAATATTCTGGGAGGTGGGTCATAGAGGATCCTGCTGTGATTTACGTTGGAGAGTGTTTTGCCTATGTTCTCCTCTAGGAGTTTTATAGTTTCTGGTCTTACATTTAGATCTTTAATCCATTTTGATTTTATTTTTGTGTATGGTGTTAGAAAGTATTCTAGTTTCATTCTTTTACAAGTGGTTGACCCGCTTTCCCAGCACCACTTGTTAAAGAGGTTGTCTTTTTTCCATTGTATATTCTTGCCTCCTTGGTCAAAGATAAGGTGTCCATAGGTTCTTGGATTTAACTCTGGGCTTTCTATTTTGTTCCACTGATCTATATTTCTGTCTTTGTGCCAGTACCATACTGTCTTGATGACTGTGGCTTTGTAGTAGAGCCTGAAGTCAGGCAGGTTGATACCTCCAGTTCCATTCTTCTTTCTCAAGATTGCTTTGGCTATTCGAGGTTTTTTGTATTTCCATACAAATTGTGAAATTATTTGTTCTAGTTCTGTGAAGAATACCGTTGGTCGCTTGATAGGGATTGCATTGAATCTATAGATTGCTTTGGGTAGTATACTCATTTCCACAATATTGATTCTTCCAACCCATGAACACGGTATATTTCTCCATCTATTTGTGTCCTCTTTGATTTCTTTCATCAGTGTTTTATAGTTTTCTATGTATAGGTCTTTTGTTTCTTTAGGTAGATATACTCCTAAGTATTTTATGCTTTTTATTGCAATGGTGAATGGTATTGTTTCCTTAATTTCTCTTTCTGTTTTCTCATTGTTAGTGTGTAGGAATGCAAGGGATTTCTGTGTGCTAATTTTATACCTGCAACTTTACTATATTCGTTGATTAGCTCTAGTAATTTTCTGGTAGAGTCTTTAGGGTTTTCTATGTAGAGGATCATGTCATCTGCAAACAGTGAGAGTTTCACTTCTTCTTTTCCTATCTGGATTCCTTTTACTTCTTTTTCTGCCCTGATTGCTGTGGCCACCACTTCCAAAACTATGTTGAATAGTAGTGGTGAGAGTGGGCACCCTTGTCCTGTTCCTGATTTCAGGGGAAATGCTTTCAATTTTTCACCACTGAGGATAATATTTTCTGTGGGTTTGTCATATATAGCTTTTATTATGTTGAGATATGTTCCTTCTATTCCTGCTTTGTGGAGAGTTTTTATCAAAAATGGATGTTGAATTTTGTCAAAGCCTTTTTCTGCATCTATTGAGATAATCATATGGTTTTTATCTTTCAATTTGTTAATGTGGTGTATTACATTGATTGAATTGCAGATATTAAAGAATCCTTGCATTCCTGGGATAAAGCCCACTTGGTCATGATGTATGATCTTTTTAATATGTTGTTGGATTCTGTTTGCCAGAATTTTGTTAAGGATTTTTGCATCTTTGTTCATCAGTGATATTGGCCTGTAGTTTTCTTTTTTTGTGGCATCTTTGTCTGGTTTTGGAATTAGGGTGATGGTGGCCTCATAGAATGAGTTTGGAAGTTCACCTTCTTCTGCAAATTTCTGCAAGAGTTTGAGTAAGATAGGTGTGAGCTCTTCTCTGAGTTTTTGGTAGAATTCAGCTGTGAAGCCATCTGGTCCTGCGCTTTTGTTTGCTGGAAGATTTCTGATTACAGTTTCGATTTCCGTGCTTGTGATGGGTCTGTTAAGATCTTCTATTTCTTCCTGGTTCAGTTTTGGAAAGTTGTACTTTTCTAGGAATTTGTCCATTTCTTCCAAGTTATCCATTTTATTGGCATAGAGCTACTGGTAGTAATCTCTTATGATCCTTTGTATTTCAGTGTTGTCTGTTGTGATCTCTCCATTTTCATTTCTAACTTTGTTGATTTGGTTCTTCTCCCTTTGTTTCTTGAGGAGTCTGGCTAATGGTTTGTTAATTTTGTTTATCTCTTCAAAACACCAGCTTCTAGCTTTGTTGATTTTTGCTATGGTCTCTTTAGTTTCTTTTGCATTTATTTCTGCCCTAATTTTTAAGATTTCTTTCTTTCTACTAACCGTGAGGTTCTTCATTTCTTCCTTCACTAGTTGCTTTAAGTATAGAGCTAGGTTATTTATTTGACTTTTTTCTTGTTTCTTCAGGTAAGCCTGTAATGCTATGAACCTTCCCCTTAGCACTGCTTTTACAGTGTCCCATAGGTTTTGGGTCGTTGTGTTTTCATTTTCATTTGCTTCTATGCATATTTTGATTTCTTTTTTGATTTCTTCTATGATTTGTTGGTTATTTGCTGCCAATTTTATATAAGTCCTTCCTCACCAAAAAAAAAGGAGAACATCACTTTGTTTTAGTTTACATATTTTTTATTACTAGCTTTCTCCCACCTTCTACTTCTCTTGTAGCTCTTAAGTGTTATTATTGAACTCTCTGTCCTACGTTTCTGTGAAGATTATGTTGTGATTGTGGGAATTTTTTTAAAAATAAATCTCAATAGTTTAAGGGGAAACAGTAAAAAAGCAAAACAATAAGAGGAAGGGAAAGAAGATGATCATAATTGAGTTCTGTCACTCACACTAGGTCTTTCTTGTATGGTTGGGTGCTGAGTTTCTTTCTCTTTTTTGCCCACAATATATTGTGGCATACTGGATCCTGGTTCCCTGAGCAGGGATTGAACCTGCGCCCCCTGCAGTTGAAGTGCAGTCTTAACCACTTGACCTCCAGGGAAGTCCCCTGAGTTCTAACACTTGGGAGTGGCAGAAGCAAGAGTAAACACCCTCGTCTCAACAATTCCTGCTCGACCCGGAAGCACCTGTTTAGCACGTGGATTATCGAGCCGTGGAAGGATAGTTTCTTCCAAACAACACCTGTTGCTAAACCAAGAATGACATGATGGGGTAGAAAAGGGAGGCAACTAAATTATTCTACATCCTCCAGTGAGGGTGGTGAATATTCTTACACCATGGAGTGGACAAATAACATAATAATATAAAGAAGTTATTATAGTCATTACAAAACTACATATCCAATAATACCCTTATTTTTTATACATAAGTACTAAAGTATTAGCAGAGGTTTGTCTGAGTGGTGTGATTATAAGTTAGCATTTTGTTCATTTTCCTTTATCTGTATTTTCAAAACGTGATAGTGTCACAAAGTGGGGAGAAGTTGTACTATCTCCCCACCAGTCTGCCTTGGGGCCTGACCCTTCCCCATTAGAGTCACTGGCTGTGGCATAACAATCAATGCAAAGCACAGAGGTCCCCAGGTGGGGGGCCCAGAAGTTAGCCCTGAAGGAGAAAGATGGGCGTCTCTGCTGAAGCATCAGCAGAAAGAGTAACATCTTCTTGGGGCTTCACGAGGGGGTGGATGAGAGGGGAGTGCGGAGGGGAAGAGAGAGGCCAGGAGAGAGGGACTGTCCACTTCCTCAGCCCCTTCTCCCTTCTGCCACTGCTGAACACTCCCTGGGCGATGCAGGAAGCAAGACACGTGAGAGGACAGACAAAAAGGAAATGCTGGATTGAGGTTTTCTGAGACACAGGGAGTAAATTGTCCTCTTTCTGCATAGGTTTGTGTTTCAATATCTGCACTTTCAGGCCAGCAACTTGAATTTCCTTGGATTTGCTTCACTTTTAGTAGGTGAGAAAAACACTGGAAATTCTCAAAACTAGGCAGACTCGAAGGCACCTGTTGTGCTGCAGGGACTCTCCACAGGAATGAAGAGTAACCCGCTCTCAATGTAATGTGCGCTTCCCAGCTGGCACTAATGCTAAAGAATCAAGAGACAGAAGAGATGCTGGCTCTATCCCTGGGTCCGGAAGATCCCCTGGAGAAGGGCATGGCACCCCACTCCAGTATTATTGCCTAGAGAATCCCATGGACATAGAAGCCTGGCGAGCTATAGTCCATAGGGTAGCAAAGAGTCAGACAAGACTGAAAAGTCTTAGCACACACATATCAGTGAAATGTAGTAGTGTGTCTGTGTGCGTAAGCTGTATGTATCTAGACGTTCTGGTATGTGAATGTATTGGTAGGCAAAGACGTTTATATGTATTGACCCAGTGCCTCTATAATGATAGTTAGAATCAATTTCCTCAGAGTTTCAACATTTATTCATTCATTCAATAAACACCTGGCTCAATCTAGTTCTACCTCCACCACTAACACACCCTTAAATCATAGAATTTTCCCAAATTCTTTCTCTACTATGCTAATAACCAGGGGCTTCCTGCAGAGACACACAGCGTCTGGCACACAGTTGCTCCTCACGGTGGGCAGCTGCTAATAATCTTGTTGTTGTTCACTCAGGACCCGGTGTGCCACCAATTTCCTGATTGCTCACGCCCTCTCGAGACCTCGATACCATGCAGGTGTGCATATGCTGAAACGAACTGTGTATGAATCCATGTCTTACAGATGCTGGAGCCCCAACCTACATGTATGAGTTTCGTTATCGCCCAAGCTTCTCATCAGAGCTGAAACCAGAGACGGTGATAGGAGACCACGGGGATGAGCTCTTCTCTGTCTTTGGTGCTCCGTTTCTGAAAGGTAATGGCCCTTTGATGACTAAGCTTGGAGTTAGAAAATTGGGGTTCAAGTTTTGATTTGGTGACCTTGGTGACAGTTCCTCCTTCTCTCCAGGTCTTACTTTCCCCAAAACAACGTTGAAGGATCAAGGGTCCCAACCTTTTTTTTTGCACTAATGTACATGATGAAGAATGCATATCCTTGTGCCCTCGCCCATGGTCACTCTAAGAATCTAGACCTGGGCATCAGCAAGATGGGAGGTGGGTCACCGGCAGGGCCCTGCTCAGGGCTAGAAGGCCACCGCTCACTGCCCACTCATAACAGCATACGAGAATGGGAGTGAGAGCAAGGTTAGAACCACTGTTAACCTTGAACCAGGACTAATATGGCTATATATCTAACCATGCATCTAAAGCTCATATCTTTTAAAATTAAGTATATTTAAATTATAGTATTTTAAAGAATACCTCTCACAAATGTCCTGAAGGGCTTTAATGTCTTCACCATCAGCAATCGACAACTTGTGTGTGACACACCCCAGGGCTGTGCCTCTGGACACGTCCTGACGGATGACTATTTGGGGATCTTGCAGCTTGGTTATTTTTCAGATTCTGTGAAAATGTGTGTGGGTGAAGGAAACGGAGAAAAGACCCAAAGGAGAGCATCCCGGGAGGTGGGGTTACTCTAGCAGCAGCCCTGGAGTGTGTCCCTGGAACGCTGAAGGGGAAGGGCAGTCGGGTGGGCACAGAAGACGAGGCGATCAGCTTATGGATTGAGTCCAGCCCTTCACTGAGCCCTGGCGCCTCCGATGGTAGAGAATCCACCTGCAATGTGGAAGACCGGGGTTCGATCCCAAGGTTTGGAAGATCCCCTGGAGAAGGGAACGGCAACCCCCACCCGTATTCTTGCCTGGAAAATGCCATGGACAGAGGAGCCTGCTGGGGTACTGTCCATGGGGGTCACAAAGAATCCGAATGACTGAGCGACTTGCAATGAGTCCACTGTCAGTAGTGACAGTCAAGCTTAAAGTGTGCTTGAATAACCCAAGATCTTTTTACAATGCAGGTTTTGACTTGGTAGGTCCAGAGTAAGGGCCCCATTTCTGAATTTCTAACAAGTTCTCAAGGGCTGCTGTTGCCCACAAACCTCACTTTGAGTAGCAATGGCTTTGTCTCCTCCTCACAGATGGTGCATCAGAAGAGGAAATCAATCTCAGCAAGATGGTGATGAAATTCTGGGCCAACTTTGCTCGAAATGGGTGAGCTGCTAGCAGAGACAGAGCGGGTTTGGAAGGGACACGGGACAGGGTTGGGGGAGCTTCCAACATGTGGTGGTCAAACAGCCCACCATGTGACCTCTGACATGAGAGCTCCCTGTGATGGACTGGCTGCCCAGGACATGGTCAGTCTCCTGTCTCTGGAGGCATATGAGCCTTTGGCAGAAATGAAGCCACGGGATCGCTGACCATCTCAGAGGGTGGTTGGGACCACACTGTTGCTTAGGTGAATTTCTATTTGATTCTGTTTCAGGAAGCCCCAATGAGGGGCTTCCTCATTGGCCGGTATATGATCATAAAGAAGGGTACCTTCAGATTGGCGTCAACACTCAGGTATCCAAGAAGCTGAAAGACAAGGAAGTGGCTTTCTGGAACGAGCTTCTGTCCGGAAGGCGGCAAAGAAGGCACCAGAGTTAAAACACGCTGAGCTGTGAACGGGACGCTCGACTGGGCCCCGAGACAAGGCTCTCCCTAGAAATGTCTATGTGTCAAAGAGGCATCTTACTATGAAGTCTGAGAATTATCCGATGGGAGTGGCAGAGGTCAGGGAGGGGGAGTTTCTGTTTCTGTGGCCTCAATTTGGAAAGAAATGTTCTTTTGCAGACCAAGTCAATGTCTTTGTCTTGCGCTGGAATAACGCCATCCTCCTTAGTGAGAGAAGGATGAAGACAGTGGGGCACCATTGGCAGGAAGGTGCTCTGGCCGTTCTGGCTCGACCTCTGGGCGTGTAGAGTGGAGCAGGCTGGGCCCTGGGAGGTGCTGAGGGGGACGCTGCATCTGTTCCATGCCTCTGGGCCATCCGCAACTCCAATGAGAGGATGTGGGGGACTAGAGTGCCGAGTCCCCCTCCTCCATGTGGAGCTGCCTGTAGAGATGGAGGCGACACAGACTGAGGATGTCCCTGGAGTGGGAAAGAGGGGACTGCACATGGCAAGACGGAGGCATGGCTGCCTGGCCCTTCCTGGCCCTCCCGCACGTCTGCACTTCTTCCTTCAACTTACAGATCGCCCTTCCAGGCACCTCCCTGCGGCCATCTCTTCCAACAATTCATCTGAACCCTTTCTGTGGCCTGGACCACACCAGGTCCAAACAGTGACCACCTTGGAGTGAGTCCCTGAAGTTTCACCTGAAAACTGTCTCTTTCAGATCCCTGGGGTGATTTCTGGCTTCTGGGTTGTAGAAGTCTCTAAGTAATGCCATTCCCACCTTAACACACAAAAAATTATATTATCCTTACAATCATGACCTTTTCTAACTGTTTCAGAGCGGCTGCTAGGCAAACAATTACCCTGAAGTCTCAGGGAACACGGGCACTGTGGAGGAGAGATGGGATGCAAACGCTGGCTGACTGCCAACAGGTGGAAGTTGGAGTCACTGCATGTGTGAGTAGAATGAGTCTAAAATGTGAATCAACTGCAAAAGGCTGATGGTGGGCAAGTACGGAAGTATACAGTCCTCAGGAGCACGGACCCCTAGGGGAGTCTACACTCATTGCAGGCCCTTCTCCCTGGATCCCTATTAGGGACCCATGAGAAATGCTGGTAACAGGTAGTAGTTGTTGTTATTCTTATGTCTGTAAGTCATGCCTGACTCTTTTCGACTCCATGGACTGTAACCAGCCAGGCTTCTCTGTCCATGGGATTCACCAGGCAAGAATACTGGAGTGGGCTTCCATTTCATTCTCCAGGGGAGCTTCCCAACCCAGGGATGGAACACATGTCTCCTGCACTGGCAAGCAGTTTCTCTACCACTCAGTCACTGCAGAATCCCTTTCTCTTGGATTGAACATCAAGTAGCGATTCCCTCCAGCAAACACAAGGGGGCGGAACACCTGGAATCGATTGCGTTCACTTTGCACACACTGCTCGCTAGTAAACACCACCAGGCTCTCCTACTGCTGAATAAACATCAGCACGCAGAGGAAAACATGAAATCCTTCCACTGGAACCAAGTCTCAGGTACACTCACCCTTCCTTGACAATGACTAGGAAATTCCCTCCGAATCCAAGTGAACATGCGGATTTCCACTAGCCAAGGGCTAGCTTTGAGGAAAGGGCAGCTTTCAGCCTGACCTAGGGAGGAACTTGCAAATATTCAGCGTCAGGCCACTGCAAGGACCTGTCAGGGGACCTGTCAGCAGCACTGGGAAAGCCAAAACCGATGTTCCCTGTGAGGTGGAGGGGAGCAGAGCCACACCAGGCATGTGTGGTCCACACAATGGGGCATTGGTGAAGTGTATCCAGACAGGTGCACACCTTCAGTGAATATATGTGCAGCTGATAAAAGTCTCTAATGCTAGTAATTTGTTCTTCACATATTTAGGTGAATGTATGTGTTGAGGGAAAAATGGGTTTGATATATTTTGTTGTTTCAAAAAAAATTTTAGAAATCCGTTTATTGACCAAAGTTTAAAACCATGGTGTTAAAAAAAAAATAATAGATTTTTCCATAGTGTTTTAGAAGCAAACCCTGTGTAGATGTCAAGCAAGAGGTGTGTGTGTTGGATTTCATCCCCTCCGAGTACTCTTCCAGGCTCTCACCAAGACTGAGTTTGGCAGGGTTTCCCAGAGAAGGAAAATGAGAAATGGAGAACCTTCTCTGCACACCATACCCTTAACACGAATACAGTGAAACCCTACGTTTCTCAGATGCCATAATCATCTGGATGATGCTTTCATTTTGAGCTGAGAAACTGAAGATATGAGAGGTGACCCGCTAAGACACTGAGTCGGAGGTGATGCAGAGGCTATTCTCTGGTCCAGAACCCAGGTCTCTGGGCTTCTGGTCTAGTTCATTACCCCAGTCCTCATGGATATGAACTTTTTGTGTCTAGACAAACAAAGGAAAACAGGGCCAGAATAAAGTCAACAATGCTTATTATCACTCAGGTGTTTCATAGAAACAGGAATGTGGCGTTGAGTCAGGTTGTATGAAAAGGAAGAAACTGCAGGTTGGTCCTGGTTGCTCTATGGACACCTGGGGCAGGGTCGCCCCTACGTCAGGTGCAGTGGCTGCACTTGTCCGAGGTCCCTTTGCAGACATAGCCCTGGGCACACGTGGCACAGCCCACAGGGCTGCAGGAGCAGCAGCCTGGGGAAGCAACGGCAAGGTAAAGTCAGAGCACACGTTATCCAGCAACACCCTTCCCACCAGCAGGCCTGACACAAGCTGCCGTGACGCCCAGACCCTGACTTTCACGGAGTCCGCTGTCCTGACGTCATTGCTGTCGGTTACCGGGTAAAGCTTTCCTGCCACATGTTTGCCTCAGAGAGACAGTGACCAGGGCCTCTGGGGACAAGAGAAAGCCAGCTCCCAGTCCATCACTTAAGAGAGAAGGTCCCCCAGGGCAAGGTGGAGGCCGTGACCCTCACAGAGCACCTCCCAGTGGAATAGGGATGGTCTGGGCTGCTTCCACAGGAAAGAGCAGAACCAGGTCAGAGAAGCCACACATGGTCACCAGCTCATGTCCCTAAGGTGCTTCAGTCCATGAGAGGATTCAGAAACCAAAATCAGGAGGCAGTACTAGATCTAGTGATGGGTCTGAGTTTGTTTGGTTGGGACCATGCAGGCCTCCATTTCCCCATTCCCTAGTGAGAGCTTGATGCTCAGTTATCTCTGAGGTGATTGCAGGTGATTGAGAATCAGTTCCCAGTGAGGGGGTGCCAGAAAGTGCAGTTAGTGACCTGCTCCCGCCTGCTGAGCTCTGGGTCCCTCCTAGGACTCAGCTCAGCCCCGTTTCCAGAGGAGGCCCTGCACCCTTCTCTTCTTGCAGGAGGGGCATCTGCAGGCCTTGCAGGACCAGGAGCCAGTGCAGCTGCAGGAGCCTCCAGCCAGGAAGGGAAAGGCCAGCAGTGAGCAGGGGGGAGGAGGAGCCACCCCAGACATCAGCAGGGCCCTCCCCCTCCTCCTGGGTCAGGACCAGCCCTGGGAGTGCGCCCCTCCACTCAGCCAAATGGAGAAGACCCAGCTCCTCTCTCCCGGTCCCAGGAAAGAAGATCCCCTTCCAAGGGAAGGCCCCAGGCTCCAGATCCAGCCCAGGTTGACTGGGGCAGGGGGCCAGGTCTATGTCCTGAACCCCAAGAGGCACCATGTCCCATCCTGCCATCGAAGCCTGGCAGCTCCAAGCCTTTCTCATAGAACTGGGTTCTGGTCTTGCTGTCCCCTGACCCCCTGGGTGAGGAGAAGAACAGTGTAGGGCCTCCGTGCCCTCAGATTTAGAATAGAGGCCAAGGGGAGCTGAAATGCTCTCAGGTGCCTGGCTAGGAAGACATTCCTGGAGCAGCAAGTGACAGGGGTCTCCCCCCAACCCCCGCGATCAAACCTCACACACTCCCTTCTGCAACCCTAGGGACCCTCCGTCCTGTGCCTGGGAAGCAGGCATCAGTAGGGCTCAAATCCAGGGGCCCCTCACCAGTGGGGCGGGAGCACTTGGGGTCCATCAGGAGGAAAGGCGAGGTCCAAGGTCCAAAGCACTGGTGAAGCAGACGCACTGGTTCAGTGCCAGGGCTTGGAGGCCAGAGCCTGGCCTGCGTTCCGAGGGGAGGAGCCCGCGCGCAGAGGCCCCGCCCCCTGCACCCGCCCCGCCCACAGCGCCTGGGCAGAGCGCGGCTGCACTTCAGTGCTGGCTGAATCGGAGGGGCCTGGAGCTGAGGTGCCCGGCGCCCAGCGGTAAGCGGTGTCCCAGCCTCCCCGGCCGCCCGTCCCCATGTTCGACACGTGAGCAGCCACCTGTTCCCGGGCGTCTGGGAACACGGCTCCTGTGTCCTCGCCGCTTCCTGGCCACAGCCCCCGCGCCGCCGGCCTCTGGGTCGCCCTTGCCTGGAGCCAGTGAACCACCCCCGCCTCCCGCTCGCTCGTGTCCCACCTGGCTGAGGCTGGGGAGTGGTGCCCCAGACCCAAGGTGGAGGTGACCCTCGCCACCGTTTCCCCTTCCCCGGCGTCCCCAGGCATGGCCTGCCTCGGTCCCCAACACAGTCCTTTCGCGGCCGTTTTCCTGTAACAGCCCCGCGACCCACATTTCCTCAGGCCTCTGGTCCTCACTTCCCTTTTTCTTTCTTGAAGAGACAATGGCGAGTTTCTCCAGGGGCCCCTTTGCCTCGGGTTTCCAGCGGCTTCCCTCAACTGTAACGGGGCTTCTGCACTCCAGGATGGAGGTTCCCTAATCATAGGATGCCTCCCACAGGAAGATAGGCAGACCTGGCATTCAATAAGAAAGATGAGTGGGTAATTACCCTGTCGGTATTGCTGACAATTTCCTGACATTTACACGCCTTGGAGACTGTGCCAAGCCTTGTTTATTACCTTTACTTTTTGAATTCTCATAGTGACCCCAAAGGGAAATACTAGTTAGGACTTGCCTTTCTCAAAGGCAAAACTGCACACAGTACAAAGAGGCTACTCAGGCAGGCTCACAGTGCTGGGAAGTTATTCCCTTCTGGTTTTTTGTCACTTCCCAATTGAAAGGGCATCGGTGAGAAAGCCTCCCTTTGAGCCAGAACTATGTGTTCAGCACTTCCCACTGTGTAAGGCTCAATCCTGGGAGTGACACATGAGAAAGAAAAGGAATGTATATATGATTTTCTGGCTACTGTCTTACTCTTCTTTTCAGTAGTGGTCATTTTTCATATAATGAACTTTTCATGTAGCTTTATTTTTCATATGATATACCCAAGAAAATATGAATCATTGAGAAGAAAATGGTAAGGAAATCCTGAGGCAGGTGACAGCAGAA